GAAACAGACAGGGGTGTTAGCAGCCAGAACCCATCCAAATAGGAAAGGAAAAATTAAAAATGCCTTCCTTGCAGATGAAATCACTTTGCATGTATAAAACCTTAAGAAATCAAATTGAGAAGTATTAAAACTCACAGCCAAGTTCAGTTGGATTGCAGGGTGACTGCTCAGTATGTAGAAATGAGTTTATTTCTCTTTGGGAGCATCGGCATTTCCAAAAGGAACTGAAGAAAATCATTTTGCTTGCAGCAACATCAGAAAAAAGATCGAGAAGCGGTTTTGAAACTTACAAATAAATTTAACAAAATGTGAAAAACTTAGACTTTTGAATGTATAAAACGTTGTTGGAATAAATTAAAAGACACTTAAATGAATACAGAGATAGCCCATGTTCATGGACTGGAAGATGTGATGCTGTGTAGGTACCAGCATCCCTCAGGTTGATCTACATGGTGGATTAATTTTCCTTCAAAACAGAAATTTTGGTCTTGAACTTCATATGAGAATGAAAAAGACATTGAATAGATAAACCAAGGATGGAAACAAAGTGGGAAGCCACCCATTGCCCATTAATTAAAAACACAATGTGTCATGACCATTAACAGTAGAGAACTGAATAGAATTGGAGTTCCAGAATTAAACCCTTACATGACTGATTAGTTTTTCAAACACTAGTGCCAGAGTAACTCAGTGGTGTAAATAATAGTCTTTTCTACAGATGGTTCTAGAACCACTGGGTATCCACCACAAAAGAATGAATCTGAATTGCTTTCATGCACCATATACAAACTTAGCTGAAGAGGAATCAGTGACCAAAATATAAAAACCCAAACTACTTTGTCCCAGAGGAAACATAGAATCACAATATCTTCGTGACATTAGAATAGATAGTACTTTTATTGGTCCAATCTCAAAAGCATAAGGGACAAAAGAAGAATTAAAAACAACATAAAACAAAATGAGAATTCACTAAAATTAAAAGCTTTTGTGTGGCAAATGAAACCATCAAGAAGGCATAAAGACAACCTACAGAGAGGGAGGGATGTTTGACAACTGTTTATCTTGAAAGGGTTTCATCTATCATATATAAAGAACTTTCATAATTCAATAATAGGAAGATAAAACTGCTAGCTCCAAAGTGGGCGTAGAAACTGAACACACATTTGTTGTTGGTTTTTTTTTTTTTGGCTCCTTTGGGGGCCTGACACCCAGCTCCCAAATAAATCATACATGGAGGCTTATTCTTAATTATGAATGCCTGGCTTTAGCTTGGCTTTTTTCTTGCCAACTTTCCTTATCTTAAATTATCCCATCTACCTTTTGCCTCTGGGCTTATCCCATTCTCTTACTTCTGTAAATCTTATTCTGTTGCTTGCTGGGTGGCTGGCCCCTGAGGTCCTCCTCCTTCTCTGGCTACTTCTATCTCCTTTCCAGATTTCTTCCCCTATATATTCTCTCTGCCTGCTGGCCCTGCCTGTCCTTTCTCCTGCCTTGCTATTGGTCAGTTCTTTTTTAGACCATCAGGTGTTTTAGACAGGCACAGTAACACAGCTTCTCAAAGTTAAACAAATGCAACATAAACAAAAGTAACACACCTTAAATATTCTACTACACACATTTCTCCCAAGAAGCTATGCTAACTACCACTGAACACATAAAAAGATTCTCAGTATCCTTAGCCAAGAGAGAAATGCAAATGTAATCCACAAGAAACTGATCACTCATGTTGGTTAGTGTGACGCAGGTATCACTGTGGACAGAAAGATTGGAAGAGCCAGAGGATAAAGGAGTTTCTAGGAGCTACATCTATAAAGTCTCACCAACATGAGCTGAACAAGGATAACAGCAATATGTGGGCTAACATGGATGAAGGAAAGCCTATGAGGCCTCAACCCTACACAAAGAACTACAAGCATCTAAGGAATGCTGAGATTGAGAGAAATGGTCTTCTCCAGGGAAGAGCACACCAATTGGTTATCCAGTACCAAATGGTCAACCCTGAAAATGTACATACAAGTAACATTATAGAGACTCAGATTGAACAGGGTGTATTTGTGTATTTACGATGTATGTGTGTGTGTGTGTGTGTGTGTGTGTGTGTGTGTGTGTGTGTGTGTCTATGTGTCTGTGTATATATGTTTGTAACAACATTGGAGAAAGAACCCATGAATTCAAAAAGGAGCAAGGAAAGGTGTATGATAGGGTTTGGAGGGAGGAAAGCAAAGCAGGGAGATGTTATAATTCTATTATAATCTCAAAAAATAAAAGAAATAATTTTAAAAACAAAGAAGAGAAAGGTGGTGAAAGCGCCGTAGGGATGCAGATGTGCATAGAGCACAGCTGGTGGGGATGTGGGTGACGTGTCCCACTTTGGACAGCAGTTTGATTCTTCCTCAGAAGTTAAACACAGCATTATTGCGAGCCAGCAATTCCATTTGTAAATGCATACTTAAGAGAAATAAACAGACACGTCTCGAGAAGAGCTGGCAAAGCCATGTCGGTAGCAGCGATATTCACATTAGCCCAACACTGCAGGCAACCCGTATGTCCATCAGAGGGTGAAGGGACAACTGGGATGCTGTGTGTGCATGCAGCAGAGCACTCCTCAGGCTTAGGAGGGAAGGCATTCTTGGTACAGCACAAACCCCTGAACATCATGCCAGGACAAAGAAGAAGTCATGAAAGATCAGGTGTCATCCTACTTACATGAGACGATGATGTTAGACAAGTCTATAGAGTAGAAAGTGTATTTGATGTGTGTGTGTGTGGGGTGTGTGTGTGTGTGTAGGTACCACACAGTTGGTGACAGCTAATGAGTTTCTTTTTATACTTAAAATTGCTGTAAAGCTAGAATTGGTGATGGGCACTCAACTCAGAATTATACTACATGTGAATTACATCTCAGGATTTAAAAAAAAAAAATAAGTGGAAAAATAATAAAAGCCTAGAAGGAAAAAACATGAATCTGACCACCTCCTCCATACCCAGCACTAATGTTTTTCTGTATTTTCTTACTTGGTGACTGTGACTGCATAGGGAGATATCCCATTTTTCTTGCTTTTGGTTTTGTTTGGATTTTCTGTTATCACATATATTAATTGATTTGTGTGTATTCCCTCAGGTGTGTATGGGTGCGTGGGTGTGTGCCAAGGCTGGTGTGTGGAGGTGAGAACAACTTGCAGGAATCTCTTCTGTCTTCCCACCATGTGGGTCCTGGGGATCAGATTCAGGTCATCTGAGTTGGTGGCAAACATTTTTATCCGCTGAGCCATCCAGGCAGCCTTGGTTTTGATTTTTGAGATGGGATTGCCCTCTGTATGCCAGGTTGGCTTAGAGTTCATGGTGTGGCCCCTTCTGGCACCGACCTCAGCCTCCCCAGTGCTAAGAGGACAAGTGAGCCACCACACCTGGGTTGGCGTTTCCCTTTTTTAGAGAAAGCTGTATGGCACACATGCTGGCCTTTGCTGCCTGCCTTTTCAGTTCACCTGGGAGGGCCTGGGAGCCTCTCAATTCGATGTTGTGTGTTTATCTATTTTCCTGTTGAGCATCACACATGGGTGGCTTCTGGTTCATCACTAATTTTATGAGTTCTGTTCACCTGTGTAATTATTCCTCATCTTTATGTACACACTAGAACTCTTTCCTTAGGTAAGTGTCTTGGAAACTGTTGATTTTCTAAGGTAGATTATCATAACCTGGGTGACCTAAAGCAAGAAATTCATTGTCTTTCATGGTTCTGGGAGGGGAAAGTCTGCAGCCAAGGTGCCTACAGAGTGGCTCCTTTTGGGTGGCAGTGGGAGCCTCCTCCTCATTCTCCTGGCTTCCTAAGGTTGTTCTCAATCCTTAGCTTTTCTCAGCTTGCCCATCTATCACTCAGGTTTCCCCCACCCCATTGATGTGTATGTGATCCTATAATATATATTTTGCTTCATAATGGATTCTGAAACAAAATGGATTTGCTTGTTCTTGTGCTGTAGGCTTCATACCATTTTCATCCAGCCTACTACACAGGATGATTTCCCCAGTTTAATTTGTTGCTTTTATGTTTCAGTTACAAATACAGGAAAGAGCCTTGGAGAACTGTCACTGTGTAGTATCCGTTCACTAGGATTACTTTTTCGTAAAATATACTTATTAGGATTTACGACTTTCAATCAAATGAGAGGGTTACTTACATTGTTAAAATTGCATTTATAGCATATCTCTTTTTACCTGTCCCCAGGCTCATTTCTAGCAGGTAGATTTAATCTGAATCTAAAGGGAAGATACATGTATGTACACACACACACACACACACACACACACACACACACAATGAGACAGGCGCTCATATACTGAAGACTAGCTTGGAACTCATTTTGTAGTCAAAGATAACATTGAATTCCTGATCCTCCTGCCTCCACTTCCTGAGTGTTAGGGTTGCATACATGCTTGGTTTATGTGGTGCTGAGGATGAAACCCTAGTCTAAATATATGCTAGGCAAACATTCTACTGAGTTATGCCTAAGAGGAATATGTTCAGATATCTGACTGTCTGTATAAGCAGAACATATTCCCCTTGATAGGTTTATTTAGTACCTACTAAGCATTAGGCCCCAGTGTCAGCCTTTCTTGTGGTGGGCTGTTTTCATAAAGAAAGGAAATGAGAAGGCTCCTCATGTGTATTTGGTGGGCTATTTTGATTGAACATAAAAGGGGTACTAATTGTTTGTATTAAAAAGCAGAGTTAACTAGAGACTGTGTGTTCCAACTCCAGTGAACCACCCTTATCATCATCTACCCGCTGTGGGTGTGGGTTCGTATGGGTGTCTTGGGTCCTGGAAACTTCTTGTTGCTTGCACCCTGAGGTAATGGCCCATTCGGAGTGATGCAATGTCCTGGCATATCTCATCTCTCACTGGATGGAGACTCTGAGAAATGGTTTATTTCTAAGTGGACATGGATAGTACCTAGTTTTAGACCAACAATTTGTACCTGATATCGTCTATTTCCTTGTGTAGATCTCTTCATGTGCTTGTGTGTAATGCGGGGACTTTTGCTCTACCCTGGAGCCTCACAAAAGATGGCCTGGAGACGACCTTCCAGGTGAACCACCTGGGACACTTCTACCTTGTCCAACTCCTGCAGGATGTTTTGTGTCGCTCAGCCCCTGCCCGTGTCATCGTGGTCTCTTCTGAGTCCCACAGGTGGGTTTGAATTTAATTTGACATTTTTCCACTTGTCCCTCTGTTTACACCCTCTGAAATTCTCTCCAAGTCTCCAACTGAAAATAGTTTTGATCTGAGGCTGGAGAGAGGGCCTCAGTTCCTAGCCCCCAGGTCAGGTGACTCATAGCCACCTGTGACTCCAGCTACAGAGGATTCAACACCCTCTTCTAGTCTCTGTAGACAACATTAGCTACACACATACACACACACACACACACACACACACACACACACACATACACACATACACAGTAAATCTCAAAAATACTAATTTTGAGTAGACTCACTATGAGAAACATGAGTGTGCACAACCTGGCTTCATTAGTTTTTCTAGATCTTTCTAGATGTGTGATCATGGGGAATTGTTAGGGGGGGGGACTGTCTAGAGTAATATAGAGTGATTTTACAATTATACCTTAGGCTCCCCATTGATTTCACTCAGAGATGGAATAATAATTGATTAAATCTGAATGGCATGACCTTTATTGATTTGTAATTCAACAACTTCAAAGTCTCACCGAGAGGAAAGCACAGTTATTCTAGCAGGGGAAACAATGCAGTTAAAGGCTGCGAGATGAAATCCAATTGTTTTATAATGAGAAATTAGGGAATTCAATGCAGACATTAGCAGTGTAATTGCAGAAAGGGAAGGACTGTAGTTAGCGTGTATTGGAAATCTGGCCATGCCTCTTTCGGTTAGAATTTCAATTTACACATCAGATGGCGTTTCTTTCTGATTGTCATTAGACTATTCAATCGACGAAAAAGACATCTGAAAACATCGTGGTGTTTTCAACATATTTGTGCTGGAGTTGGATAAACAACTAACTGTTTCTAAAAGAAGTGCCGAGAAAAGACAAAGGGTTTTCTGAGCTGTCGAGGCAAGATTTACAGCTTGTTAGGGAGAATTCTCTTCCCAATGTTCCTGGTGTTGGGGACTATTGGGGGGGGGGGAGGGGACTCGGGCTTTGCCTCCTTAGCAAAGTGGCTAAGAATAAATAAATAAATAATAATGTGCCAAAATCTGTTTTCTGTTTTCTTCCTCTTCTTCTCCACCTTAAGTCCTGAAATGTTTTGGTGATCCCGGATGCAGCTTATTTTTTTTTTTTTTTTTTTTTTTGTTTTTTCGAGACAGGGTTTCTCTGTGTAGCTTTGCGCCTTTCCTGGAGCTCACTTGGTAGCCCAGGCTGGCCTCGAACTCACAGAGATCCGCCTGCCTCTGCCTCCCAAGTGCTGGGATTAAAGGCGTGCGCCACCACGCCCGGCTTATTTTTTTTTTTAATCATACTTCCATAAAATGTAACCCATGGGACTTTGAAGAGCGAGACCAGCCAAGGGTTAGCTTGAACCCTTTATCACTCCCAAACACAGGGGCTTATGGTGTAAGTGACACACTGCAGACAGATTTACTCTTGCCAGTTTAAATTTATGATGGCTGCAATGAAAGGGAACTGTGGGTAATAATCCTCCCCTGTTCAAGAAGACTCAGAACATCTAGTAATTAGGTAGTAACAAAATCTGGCTAGGCTTATCTTTGCAAATCACACCAGGTTTGTGAAAGAAGGGGAGTGGCCCCGCAAAGCAGCGAGGGAGGCTGCCGTGGGGGCAGGCAGGAGAGAAAGCTGTAGAAATAAATCTGCCAGCCCCAATCGCTTACCAGATGTGGAGGGCACCACGGGATATGTTTAAATGAGCTGGTATTTAATGGGAGATGGTGTGGAGGTGTCAGCTGCTCACTCCTTCGGTAAAGCTCTGTCTCGGATGCTGTTTCCTGGGACGCCTTTGTTCTCACTGTAACCACAGGGTAATGCCTGCTTACTTGGGAGATCCAAGTCCTCATTTCATTTTAAAGATGAGTTTGGAAGGAAAGACCTTGGCTGCCTGAATGAGATCCATTGTCATTTCTAGCAAGGCCTAACTGATGGGTGGAAGGCCTGCGTCCGTGTGCCGACTGGCTCCTCTTGTCCACTTTCTTCTTATTAACATTCTTACAACATATTAATTCCTACAAGCTGAACTGTTTATTACTCTTGCGCTGCATTCCTGAGCTCCAGAGAGCAAGCGTGGGTGCCAGGCACGCAGACGGTGCTGGCTCACTACTGAAGGACCCAGAGCCGGAACCAAACTGTAAAATGCAAGTGTTGATATCTAATTACCTCCATAAACCTTGGCGGAATCTCTTCGTTGGAGTCAAGACCCCCTGTTAGGGGAAAAATAAAGTCTTATGTTTGCAGAAAATATTATACTGGATGCCCTCGGGCGAATTATTTATTAACCACTCTCTATCTTCACTGTGTTTTACTTACTTAGCTGGAGTCTGAGCGCGTGGATTGAGTTCCTGCCTGTCTCAAATATATCATAATGAAATGGGAAGTTGGATTCCTCACTGTGAGAATTTTTCAGATAACAATTAAAATAGAATGAAAGAAGCAGAGTGCTAGCCGCGCAGCTCTAGACAGCCTCGGCAGTAGGAAGGAGCAGACAGACACGTAGTCGGAGACACAGTCACACACATGCAGTCACACATACAACCCCACACAGCCAGCTCCAGAGTCCCGCACTTAGTCACCCCCACAATCTCACATGTGTAGCATCTCATACACATAATCATACACATACAGTCACACAAACAACCACATACAATCACACATAGTCACGCAGACAATCATACCCCAACACAGCCTCACCTATGTAGACTCTCAGACACATAAACACACATAAAAATGCACACAACCAGAAAAAAACCACAGAAACCACAAAGTTACATAACCACACCCACAGTCTCACGTAGTCACACAACCACACATACTCTCATACACAGAATCACATGCATGTAGTATGCACGCAACCACAGGAAACCATATATAGTCACAAACAGACATCCCAGTCACACATAATCATATACAATCATAGACACATATACCCCATCAGAAATGTACAGTCATACATCACAAACACAGAGCCACACACGTACAGTTACACACACACAGAATTTCCCTGGCAAGTTCATTTCTACCACTTGAACACAATAACTGTTTTCCATGTGAGTCTATTCTCATTATTTTATTTTTGGAATTAAACATTGTTTCAGCTTTAACAGAGACATATGTAAAGAAAGAGAAGACAGGGTCATGGGGCCAGTCAGTGTCTGGAGAGTGGATGTTAGCCAGCCTCTCTGTGGATCACAGGGACACTTCTCAGACCTTCATTGGCTTTGCCAGACTTTCAACTTGAAGACAGAGCAGGCAGCCTCGAAGAGCTCAGACCAATGGGTCTGAGCAGCCAGACCAATGGGTCTGAGCAGCCAGACCAATGGGTCGCATTGCCAGATCCTCACTCACTTCTCTGTGGATGGACCAGAACTGTGCCCACCCTTCCCACTTCTGTAGGAACTGACGGCATAAATTAGTGAGACCTTCAGGAGTCTGGGGTCCACACGGCCTGGAGTTCATCCTCAGAACTAAAGAAACAATAGATAATATAGATAAGTTTAATCTGCCCAGTGTTCCCCAGTCATGAAGTCAGGGGCTCATCCTAGCACCAGGAGACACTACCTGTAAATGTGTAACCAAGAACTTTGAGAGAGTGACCTTCTTGGTCAATGTTACCTTTCAAGTGAGACTTGGAACCAGATTTTTTTGACATAAGCTCTGAATTCTAACCTCATGGCCAGCCTTCAGTTGTAAAATCCTGGATTAGGTTTCCATTTTAATCCTGACCCTGCTCACCAAGAATTCCCAGCCTAGCATTTGAACCAGGTAGACAAATGACTGGCAGTTGGTGTTAATGCCAGAGGGCCAGTAGATAGGTAGGACCCAAAGGTGGCTTTGCTAGCTTTGCTACTGATCTTGGAGGGACAATGTTGTCACCAAACACTGGGAGTAATGTCACAGAGTTGATCCTGCGGAGTGGATACTGAGTTATCATGGAACCATCTGTTTCAATCTCTTTGCTGGACTTTTTCAATCTATCTGTCTTACCACCAAGAAATCATTGTGGCATCAAGCTGGGAGAGCTTCCTGGAAGAAGTGTCCCTAGGCTGGGGAGATTTTCTAGGAGCAAGAAGAAGAAAAAGCACTGAGGAGATCACTGAAGGGTGCCATATTTATTCCATATCTTTCAGGTATTTGTGTGTGCTCAATACCCTTTTCTTCTCTCAATAGTAGCATTTCCAGCTCATGTCTCAGACTTCGGATCTCTGGGTTTGTAACTCAGTAGCCCCTTCTGTGACCACCCTTCTTTAACACCTCATTGCTATATTGAAATCAAGTTGAAAAATAATATCATTTTCCCTGAACAGACATATATATTTTTTTAGTTCCCTATGATGGTGTAAGTCTACTGTAAAGAAAGCATAAACTGGAATCAAAATAGCTTGTGATCCAACATTGAACTACTTGGGCAGGACTATGGGAAAGATAATCAAATGTATGTGTCTGCATAAATCACCCTCACAAAGGCCATCAACAGGTAGGCTCCATGGCAGATTCCAGTGCCACCAATATTGAATCAAACCTCACACTCCTGAACTCCAGGACATCCAAGAGTGCATTCATTCCTCTTTGGCAGAGTTGTTACATGGGATGGAAGGTTCAGTAGATGTTAAAACTATGCACGTATATGACACACAAGCTGAAGACTCTGAGAATTCCACTCAGCCTTTATATCTGTATGAGTGTCCATGGGGCCGTCATCATGGAGCTTGATTCTTGTCCTCCTTGCAGGGCACCTGCTTACTCTTTCCCCCACTGGTAGTCAGTCATTCCTTCTATCAGAACAAGGACCGTGAAACTTTCACATCTCTTGCTATGTTCTTTTGCCTTGGACAGTTAAGCTGCAAGTCTGGGGTCTTCCAGCTTCAGAACATGGAGACAGGAAACCGACAGTTAGCTGCAAGGTGTCACTGTCTTTCCCTTGGTGAGGTTAGCTTTGCTGATTTCTGAGTGGCAACAGTCAGCATCTGAAGTGAATGTCACTGAGTCCTGGGAGAGGGGTATTTAATGCATTCTGTTAACATGACTGTCACCATTGTGGTGGTTTGAGTGAGAAATGTTCTCTATTGTCTGGGACATTTGAATACTTGGACTCCAGGTGGTGGCAGTGTTTGGGTAGGTTTCCAAGGTGTGACCTTGCTAAAGTAAGTGTGTCCCTGGGAGTGAGCTCTAAGAGTTTAAGAAAGAGCACCATTTTGAGTGTGTTCTTTCAGCTCCATGCTTGTGGTTCAAGATGTGTGCCCATGGCTTCCTGCTCCTGCTGCCATGCCTTTGCGCTGCCATCATGGGCTCTCACTATCTGGAACTGTAAAGCCAGTAAACTCTTTCTTCTGTAAGTTGCCCTGGCCATGGTGTTTTATCACAATAACAAAAAGGAACTGACACAGCCACCCTGTGATGTTTTTCTTAGTTTTGACACATCCTGAACTGTTCCTTCCAAGGAGCAAGGTTTGTTCTTGATGATCCTTTGCCATTAGTACTTTGTTTTCCATAGTCATTTTTTTTTTTTTGCAACGTTCTTATCTTGTTCCCTTACTATGTGTGCTGGCTAGTTTTTATGTCAACATGACACAAGCTTGAGTCATCAGAGAAGAGGGAGCCTCAGCCTCCATAAGAGCAGCCTGTAGGGCATTTTCATAACTAGTAATTGATGTAGGAATGCCTCATCCATTGTGGTTGGGGCCATCTCTGGGCTAATGGTCCTGGGTTCCATAAGAAAGCAGGCTGAGCAAGCCATATGGAGCAAGAGTGAGCATCACTCCTTCATGGATTCTGTATCAGCTCCTACCTCCAGTTTCTCACCCTGTTTGAGTTCCTGTCCTGGCTTCTTTGATGATAATCAGTGATGTTGAAGCATAAGCCAAATAAACCCTTTCTTTCCCAACTTCCTTTTGGTCATGCTGTTTCATCACAGCACTAGTAACCCTAAGCAGAACAGAAATTGATAACAGAAGTGGGGTATTGCTGTAACAGACCTGACCATGTTGTTATGGGGAGGATTGTGGAAGGACTTTGAAAACTTGGGCAAGAAAAGCCATTGAAGTATTCAATTCTTGGTGAGTTGTTCTGTGGGAACTTAGAAGAAAAGAGTGTTGAGAGAAAGGCAGTTGGTAGAAGCCTTGCTTATGAAGTTTTAGAGGGAAGCTTGAGAGTTACTTAAAGACCATTGGGGCCAGGGCATATTTTCTATTTTGAATTGAGATTCTGTAGTTTTGATCAGCTAGAGCTGAAAAGTCAACTGTGATTAAGAAGAGACCAACATGGATGAACTAGAACCTTTGCTTTACTGGGACTGTTGATGCTTGTCAGCTGAAGCTGAGGAATTGACACTGATTAAGAAGAGACCAGCATCACTGAGGTGAAATCTGGGAAGTGTTTCCACTGAGTCAGCACACAGAAGCTGTGTTCCAGATGTGGCCAAGGTAACTCCTGTTGGCAGCTGAACTTGGTAGTGTAAGAGTCACCTAGGTGTTACTGGTTTTGAAGCCATGAAGAGGTCGTGGAGAGCGGCTGAGGCTTGGCACTGTGAAAATCCAGGAGAGGCCATTGTTGAAGATGAAGTCTCAGTAGCAGTTGAAGGCCCAGGACTAAGGGGGCCATGCAAAGAAGTCAAGACTTGGCACTATGAAGAGAGCTCAGGAGAGAATATTGGTGAAAGTGCAGCCCAGTTGCAACAGAAGACCCCAGCATTTTGGAGATACCAGTACCATGGGATGACTACCAGGAACAGCAGCCAGAACCTAGAAGACAAGCTGTGTGTGTTACAGAGGGTGGAGCCAAAGAAGTGACCCAAGTCACTCAGAGGAGCCCAGAAGATCATGAGTGAATCCCAGATATTGGACATTGAGTTATTTACATGGTTGGAGCTTGGTTTTGCTTTGTTCAGATTGTGACTGTGCCCTGGTTCTTCCCTCCTGAAATAAGGAATTATTTAACTTATTTTTGATTTTATGGAAGCCCACAGTTGAAAGACTGAGTTTTTAAAGATATTTTGAATGTTTGAAAAGACTGAATTTTAAAGTGTTTGAACTTATAAAAACTGTGAGACTTTTAGAGTTATTTATGAATTTTAATGTGAGATCTTGGGGATGAAAGAGAAAGGAAAGGTTATGACTTAACAGTGATGTGCTTGTGTGTCAAGCTGACAAGGAGTCAATTGTGTTAGATAGTTTTATGTCAACTTGACATAAGCTAAAGTCATCTGATGGGAGGGAGAGAAAATGCCTCCATAAGATCAGGCTTTGGCAGACCTTAGAACATTTTGTTAATTAGTGATTGATGAGCAAGGGCCCAGTCCACTTTGGTGCCATCCCTGGTCTGTGGTCCTGGGTTTTATAAGAAAGCAGGCTGAGCAATCCTTATAGAGCAAGCTAGCAAGCATCACTCCTCCATGGCCTCTCCATCAGCTCCTGCCTCTAGGTTTATGCCCTGCTTGAGATCCTATTCTGACTTCTTTTGATGAGGAACAGCAATGTGGAAGTGTAAGCCAAATAAACCCTTTCCTCCCCAAGTTGTTTTTGGTCATAGTGTTTCATCACAGCAGTAGTAAGCCTAAGCAGGATACTATACAATGCCCAAAGTTGACATAATGAAGCCAAGTATGGAGAGTCCTTAAACAAATAGGATATTGTCTAGAACATTCTTTTAGGTTTTTAAGGCAATCACTTCCTTTTTTGACAAAGAGGCAGGTATAAAGGAAGCAAACAGCTGGTGTTTAATGCCTCTGCCAGACTCTATTATAAAATATCAACTAGTTACTTTGATTTGTGTGTGCCCATGCCATGGGCATACTTAAAAACAGTAGACTGGGCCAGAACTCGTTTTTGGCTTTGTTTATTTATTTTTTAAATGTAAAAGACTTTTGATGGCACCTCACCAAGGTTACAACCCTTTTATGATCATTAATTTTTAATCTGGAAAAGAGTCTTGGAGGCAGGACGGCTTATCTGTATTAACTGAATGCTCAAATGAAAATACACAAGACTCATGCATTTGGCTAAAATAACCCAGGGAAACTCTGCCAAAGGTTAGGAATGTGATACTGCTTTCCTAATGCAGCTACCTTTTATCTAAGGCTTGTTTCCATTTAATTATCCTTGAACTTGTGGTTGAAGATCTGGAGGCACAGAGAGAGAGAGGGAGAGAGAGAGAGAGAGAGAGAGAGAGAGAGAGAGAGAGAGAGAGAGAGAGAGAGAGAGAGAGAGAGAGAGAGAGAATTTTTCTTTTTGAGATTGGGAACTCAGTGTAGTCTTGAACTCACTATAGCCCAGGCTAGCCCCAAGCTCAGAATGATTCTCCTGCCTGCCTGAACTTTCTGAATGTTGTAATTAAGGCTTGTTTGAGGCACAGGGGACCTTGGCTTTATTTGGTCTACTGCACTGCTGGGTATAGACTTAAGCTTCCTCTTTGGATCAAATACTTGGTAGTGTGTTAAGCCTCCATCTTTGGTTTTTAAGGGTCATGGTGGTGAGATATGCTAGATGAAATCTCCACAGTTTGTTCAGATTTCAAATCAAAATCCAAAGCTCTGTGAGAAGCGGTGTCTGCTGTGTTCTACGCCATGCTTTCTATTTTTCAGATTTACAGATATTAATGATTCCTCAGGGAAACTTGACCTCAGCCGCCTGTCTCCATCACAGAGTGACTACTGGGCCATGCTGGCTTATAACAGATCCAAGCTCTGTAATCTCCTCTTCTCCAATGAGCTGCACCGTCGCCTCTCCCCACGAGGGGTCACGTCGAATGCAGTGCACCCTGGAAACATGATGTTCTCATCCATCCATCGAAACTCATGGGTGTACACGCTGCTGTTCACCTTGGCCAGGCCATTCACCAAGTCCATGGTAAGTGGATGGCTGCTGGTACCTCCCAGGTGCCTTCAGTCAGCTTCACAAAAGGGCCTACAAACCCAGTCCTTGGCGTCTACTTGTGGTCTCATTGTAGTCTGTTGTCATGGGGCTGGTATGGAGTAACAGCACCATTGGCAAAGGCTCCCTACCATGTCAGTATCACCCTTAGATTGGGTCTATTGCTCTACCAGAGTCTTGGAGGCTTGGATAAGGATGTTGGTTTTCGGTATTGGGTAGAAAACACCTGAAAATCTTGAAGGTTTGGGGTGAGGAGCACAACAATCATCTATTTCCTCTCAATGTGATTTCTGTTTTGATTCACAAACTTTAAAGTATACTTTGTGGAAAATGGCACTTGATGTATGTGCTTTGTGATAGTGGGAAATGTGGATTAGGAAGCATTAGGAGGTGAAGCTCTTTTGAGTTCAGTGGATTTTGTATCGGATGTTCTAGATGCTTCTTATAATGGAGGTCTGGGGGTAGCTCTTTCCTGGAGAAGGCTTTGTGGCCAGAATGTGGTTATCCTTTGTATCCCTGAAGACAAATCTTTTGGGCAAATCACACTGCTGTGGTTAGAATTGGAGTGCTCACAAAGCTGAATATGAAGATTTTACATTTTTGTCAAATGGTTGTTTATCAATGGTGTGTAAAAACCTCTTCCGTGAATTCATTAACCCTAAGTGACTTGAATGAAAAAGGTGTGTATTACATAGCACATTTGCTCAGGTGCTTTTCCAAGCCTCAGGCTTTAAGAAATGTGTTTCTTTTAGGGCCAGGGAGATGACTTAAGTGGGATAAGCACCTTCTGCATAAGTCTTAAGAACTGAATTCAGATCCCCAGTAGACAGGTGAAAGCTGGGAATGGATTTGTACATTTGTAACCCCCAGTACAGTGAGAAAGCCTGTTTCTAAATAAATAAATACATAAATAAATAAATAATAAATAAATACAGTAGAGGCTGTCAAAAGAAGAACCCAACATCTATCTCGGACTTATACACATGCACACATGGATGTGTGCACCACACATGCATGTTCCTCACATGCACGCATGGGATAAATAGTAAAAATATTTTCTTGTGAATTGATATATCCATGGTGCAGCTACTGATGCTGTCTTTAAATGATAGAAATTATTCTCTCTCTCACACACACACTTGGACTTTGGATTAGACCAGCTATCCTGGTGGTGGCAAGGGAGGTTAGTGGTTGCCTAGCACAGTAGACCAACCGCTCTCCTTAGCATTCCTCCGATCGAGACCCATTGTATTCTCTGGGCATCAGGACAACTTAGGGAAGTTGCATCAAGCACCTGCCTCCTGCATCCCAAAGAGATGTCCTGAGCACTGACAAGAATGAGCATCATACCTCAAATCACGGGCATAGGATTTATCTAGTGGTCACCATCTATCCATTGGCCACTTGTGGCCATTGAGACCTTCACATGGGCAGTACAACTGAGGACATTCTGAATTTTGTTTGATTTCAGTTTAAATAGCCACATGTGTCTTGTGGTGGCCAGATTATGTACAGTGTGCTGTGTATATAACCTCATGTTTCCATGATCTCAAGTTATTCTTTGTTCTGTAAGCAATACCTGTGTCTAGAAAGTTCTTCTTTATACCTCAATTGTGGGTAATAGATGTCACAAGGGTTATGAGGCTAAAAATTATAATAAATCAGATAATTCTATATTCTGTGACTATTATAATTTTAGTCTGAAAAAGAGGGAGTCTGGTGGCGGGTACAGGGGAGGTTTATGGCTCTGCTCCTCTCTCAAACAGTCCAGGAGTAAGATAACTGGCAAGACAGGAAGACTGCACAGGAGAACCTGGGGTGGTGGCCTCACACCTACCGATCTGGTCACTAGGAGGTCACAGTTGCTGGGACTTTCCATTCTCTTATCAAGTGATTAGGAAACAGCACCTTTGATAGCTCATAAGTGCACTTTAGCTGTTACTGTTGACTCCTTTTCTTTGTGTGTGTATAGTCATTTTTGAAACAGGATCTCACTATGTAGCCCTGGCTGGCTTGGTATGTATTATGTCCCTAAACTGGCCTCAAACTAATGGAAGTCCTTCTGCCTCCCCCTTCTGAGTGCCGGATTTATAAGCTTAGGTGTAGAGATTAGTAAGATCGTGGAACATGTAGCCACATTTAGGTTTTCTGTAATAAAAGTAACCTGTCTAGATGGCTGGTGGTACTTTAGCATTGAGTTCCCCATTGCTGAGTTCCTAAGGAGGGAGGATGGAGCTTAGGAAGAGGGAGGAGAGAAGAGGAAGCTGAGGAGGAGGGAGGTTGGGAAGAGGGGGGAGGAAGCTTGGGAGGAGGGAGGATGGATGCAGCATTTGCTGGTCACACTCATCAGTCTCTGCTCCACTGCAATCATTCAGGACTCTGCAGCGAGAAAAGGACGAAGCAGCAGGACTGGGGATGGGTCATGTCCCCAATGGGACAGATCTGGCTGACCACAAGGTCACTCTCTCGGGCTGTCTTCCTCACATACCTCTTGTTGCCTCCATTTCGATAAGGTGCTTGTTGCTTGTACAACGGATGCACTTCTGCCATTTTCAAGGAGCTGTGTATTGACACACAGGCCGTGTGTATCAAAGCTCCCATCCCACGTACAGGGTGGATTCCTAAATGACAGCCAAGCAGCTTGGTGCCAAGGTGACTCCCTGGGAAGAGACAGCTAGGGCTCCATTTATGCTTCAAAATCCTTTCTCCATTTTGCCTTAACGAAAGCATTTTTCCCTGTGACATAGGCCTAGCTTGAGTATACTCTCCGCTGTACAAGGCCCAGGGAAGAAAAAATATCACCCTGCCCGGCGCTCTGAAGCCCAGCCTCCCCTTCTCCGCTGCAGCTAGCTCCCATAAGCATTAAACAGCAGTGTTTTAATATCAACGTCCCTTCTTTATTTGCTGTGACTCGCTGTGACTATGGTGATTTTAGTTACCGTAATTAGGTCACCCTTCATGGAGTCAGGCTATTTTAAGTGGCTCTTTAAGGACTATTGTTGCAGATCAGTAATTTTACAATTGGATGCTCTTGTGCAACTTTATTAAATGTAATATGTCTTTTAAATGTTGCCCTTTTACAGTTATACGTTTCTAATTGTTGCTGTAAATGCATTATCACTTTGAAATTAATTAATTTTTGCATTTGGGCCTCCTGCAGTATAATAATCACTAATGAGAAACTCACAGGGACAAAGTCTCAGCACAGCGCCCCCTACTGGCAAAGCCACATTTCTGCCACCCTCTTCCTATTGAGGGCCGCAGGTCAGATGTCCTAGGGCTTTTGGAAAAGAGGTCCTTATTCCTCTTTCAATTTATGATAAAATAAAAAGAATAGATAAAATGGAAATATGCTGTTTTAAATGTTGTTTAAGCCAATATTTTTTCCAGTAGCAGTCCCTGAAATGTCTTAAAGGAAACCAAAGTTTGCTGAGAATGTTTGTGTGATGAAGTCACATCATGTGGGCACTTCATGTCAAATTCTCTGTTTTTAAGTAGTGTTTTATGTGTGTGTGTGTGTGTGTGTGTGTTAGCATGTACTGTACGTTAGCATACATAAAATAGTTATATGTGCATGTTAATTCATGGCATCATAATTCAGACAACCTGACCTGTGCTGTTATCTAATGGCATAAGAGATTTTCTAGGGTGGTTTTGGCTATTGGTGTGTGCTATCTTGTGTGAGGGCTTTGCAGTCCTCACTGACTTAATCCCAGTTATCGGGCACCTTGGCGGCTCCCACCTGACATCACAATGTCAGCATCAACATGTTCATTTTTTCCCACACGACCCTTCTGCAGGGTCAGAATGACCTCTGTCTGACCCAAGACAAGCACAGAGAGCTTACCCAGCCGGTTGAAGAAAATGCCAGTCTAGCCCCCAGAACCTCCGCCAACTCCTCCGTGCTCCATTTCCTTGGTCAAACACATTATGGTGCCTCTGCCATGTGTGTTTGATTGTGTTGTTACGTTTCCTCTTTAAAACATTTGACAGCACCTCTTTGACCCCCTTCCTTCTTTTTTTTTTTCCACATAAGTTTTAAACTCTGGTAAACAACATTCTCGCCAGAGGTTCCAGGGCCAAGCAGGCCCTCTGTGGACCAGCATGTAAATTTCAAGTTGAGCACAGTCACGTGCCTCTAAGGGTGTTTGAAGCAACCAAATATTTGTGTTGGCAGGTAACAGTAGGAAAGAATATCATGTGTTAGGGTAACAAGAGCTTAGCAGATGTTTTAGGGAACTGTGTTTTCAAATCAGTTCACATTTTTAAAAAAAAATGGCTTGAGTTTGTCGATCTTCTGGAAGGATTGGGTTTCTCTTCCTGTGGCCATGAAAAGGCAGCCATTGTAGCGAGTCTTAACAGATGTGTGGCTATCCTGCTAATGGATGGGCCTGCAACACCAGGTCCTGTTGTAGAGTTATAAATTATAAGCAGAGAAAGCACAACCTAGCATTCTTCTAACCTTCTACAGAGCCAAGCTGGGTAACTCTGCCCTTGAATAACCCAGGGCCCAGTGATTTATAGTTGTGCAATTTTAAAACATAATGAAGGGCATAATAAATGTTGATTTGTTCTTTAAGTTAGTATTTTAGCAAAATACTTCTCTCCCTTTACCACCTTCAAAGACCTGGAGCTGGCTACTCTGGAGGTGTTTTCAAGGACCCTCTTTATGTTTGCCTCTTTATTGGTATATTGGCATGTCCCGTACAAGGAGGGAGGGGACTATCAGGGCTTCTCAGTTTTCTTTTTCTTTTTTTTCTGTCGAGAAAAGAAAATACATTCTGCAATGTGGCAATCTCACTCTATTCCTTGATAATCTCAATATTGTGGGCCTCCCAAGCACTGGGGGAATTCTCTGATTTCTGTGCTCTCACAGGCCCAGGTATGGTAGGAAAGTGGACTTTTAGGACCCCTGTGGCCAGGCCACAGGTGCGCTTTCCTGCCTTGGCTCCTACAGTGGCTCAGCTCCCTTCTTCCCTACGGAGGCCATCTTCCTGCAGCCTCAGGCAGCCTTCTTACCTCCAGGTGATCCTTGGCCTAGGATTTATTAGTCAGCTTTCCATTCTGTCCAGCGCTTGAAAGTTTATGGGATTTGCTTAGTCCCGAGGTCAGTGCATATGGCAGATTTCAAAAGAAGAAAGAATTCGGAATCCTTAGGCTTGTTTTAAAACTTAGTTGCCCTCCTCCTCTCCAGTCATCCTGTAATAAGTCAACCTGCCTTAGGTCAATTTTCTGTATCATTTCAGTGAGCTCTAAATTCATACCGAAAGATAGTTGGAAAAAGATCTGGGGTTCTATTTAACTTTTTCACATATTCTGAAACCCCGAGGCAGCCGGAGGTACGTTTGACTACGAAGTGGGGGCAAACGCCCTGGCTTTGTTTTCGTGATTACAGAGTCACTGAGGCAGAGCCAACCACTGCATCCTGTACAAAGCTGGGAAGGCAGGGTGGAGTGGTGGCCCTGCTCTCTGCCCTCTCCCCTTCCTCATCAAGAAGAGGATCCTGACTCAGAACCAGGCTGTGAACCTTCTTTCCCTGTGCCCACTGTCTAAAAAGTAAGTTGGTTTTCCCTATTCCAGGTTGATAGGAGATTAGTCAAGCACAGAGCTGACTTTGCTGGGACTTGACAGTAGGAAGCAAGCTTTGATGACAAAATGAAAGAATCGGCCACCCAGTTGCTCAAACTGTCTACTTACAGCGGGACCACGGGCGTGCACGAGAATTCAGCAGAGCACCTGGGTTGTCTGTTCCACGTGAGCAGTCCCAGTGCCAGTCACACCATGTGTCCTTTGCTTCTTCTGAACTTTTCATCTTTGAATATGTCACCCCCTGTATGCTACCAGTCCACTCACCCTAGGTCACACCCTGGAAGCATTTGGGATCTCGCAGATTAGAACAAGGTTCTTGTCGTGTGATGTCATAAGGAAACATGACGGGAAGAAGAAGGAGTCGCTCAAAAGCACAGGATGGGGGCTGAGTGAATGGTGAAGGGCCGGGCATTTCTCCTTCCCAACCTTCCCACAGCTGTTAACCTCAAAAGAAAGTCCCTATACATTATCATTTAGTATTCAAAAGTGGTGGTTTTGTCTTTCTTTGCACCATTGTATCTCTGGCCATACAGTCAAGAATGTTGCATGTTTCTAGATGGAAGTCAGGAATGCACCTGGTGCCTCCAGTCTCTCTTGGGTGGGGAGGGATTGCAGTTCAGAGTGTGTAAACAAAGAAATGGTGAGGCCAGGTCTCACAGCCACGTAGTATACAGTGGAGCTGGGGCCAGAGCCAAAGGCCCCTAGGCACCTGGCTACAAGCCCCAACAATGGATTCCCTCAGAGAAGTAAGTGTATTTGGGAGGAACGTATTTAAGTTGAGAGCTAGAGAGCTGCGAAACAGTTAGAGAATATTCCAGAGTAAGGCAGCTCTCAGATCAAATACCAGCTCCCCTCCATCCTAACTCATGAGCAAGTTTCTTATCTTAAGATTCCCATTAAATACCAGGTCATATGCCTACCTCATGGACTGTGTTGAAACGATAGACAGCATACATATGCAGCCTTTACATACTAGCTATTTGATAAATATCACATGGTATTATTATTGCCTTGTAGTGTGAATTTGACATTCATTTAATGTTGGCTGGATATAGATTCTCATTGTATTAGCTACACTCCACCTCACTATGAATAAATGCCTTACACTAGATGGAAGGATGTATTTGGCTCATGGTTCAAAGGATCTCAGTCCATCTTTTGAACAACTACTCGTCTCAAATATTTTACATTAGTATGGGTTTTTGTATATTGATAAAAATTTAAGGTTATTTTTGTTAGAATATACTATACCTATGTTTCTACTCTTGTTCAAGGTATTGTACCTATGCAGCTCATTTAACAACGTAATGTAAATTTCTAGTCCTTGAAAGTTATTTTTATAAACTATTTAGGATAATAAAGAAATACAGGTTAGTAGTTAGTCACCTATTACAATCAAACTTACGTTAGGTATATTTTCAAGGTCAGAGATATATTTCTAGATAGATAGGCCATCTTCAAACACTTCAAAGACCTACAGAATATGGCATTAAAAATGTGTTATTAACATGGGGCTTTTCATGACAAAGAGACATGTCTGCTTCTGGCAGCACCAATTTACTCCGGAGAAGATGATGGGCATCAAAGAAACACCATATGGAGTTTGTTTCCAATGTGCCAAAACTAGCCATTTGGGCAAGAAACTGTACTTGTCTTGACTGCTGACAGTATGCTGTACAAGCTGGACAAGCAGGACACAAAGGAAAAAGACTGTTGAATTTTGCCAAGATAAGGTGGGACAGTTCTTCAAAATTTTTTGCTTCATAGAACAGTTTGCCAGATATTCTAGGCCTATAGGCCAAAGACTGGATGCCCCAACATTGCAGAGGAACCTTGGGTGACTGTCCAAGCAGCCAGATGTCTGTCATTTCTATAGGTTTGGAAGTGGCTTGCACTACACTTCCTATTTATTCAGGTACTATTATATCCTTCTGGGGTCTTTGATAGAGTTGAAGACTAGTTATAGTTGTAGTTTTCCTTAGTTATGATAGAGGCATTGAGCTTGCAACTTGTCAAGATAGATTAAATAATGGGGTATTTTCTCCAAATATAAATGGACTAGACATTGTGAATGTGATTCTTCCCTGATAATTGTTCTTATTGTATATAGTTTTACTATGTTAGAGTTAAAACCTTTCCTTTTTCTTTAGACAAAAAGGGGAGAATGTTGTGGAATAATCTTTTTGTACACTGTGAATATGTGTCACTTTGATTGGTTTAATAAAATGCTAAATGGCCAATAATTAGGCAGGATTTTCAGGGCAGAGAGAATTCTGGGAAGAAGAAAGGAGTCTCTAGCCAGACATGGAAGAAGCAGGAAAGTAGTCCATACAGAGTAAAGGTAATAAAGTAAATTAATAGAAATGGGTTAATTTAAATTATAAGAGCTAGTTTAAAAAGCCTAAGCTATTGATGGAGCTTTCATAATTAATGAGAAGTCTCCATGTGGTTATTTGGGAGCTGGCTGGCAGGACAGAGAAATTCTCCTACAGTTAACAGCTAAAGATCTATTCTCACCAGTTCCATGTATGTGATAGTTGGACATGTTACTGGTATTTGAAGGTGTTCCCTTCATGGAAGTTGGGGTTCCATCTTATTTCTTAGTTTCATTATAATAGAATTTCAGAATAGACTCAAATGGAAGCTTGAAGACAATTTTATTAGCATTTTAAAGAAAAACTCCCAGGGCAGGGCATCTGTAAATCAGAGCAGCTACCCTGAAGAGGACAATGGAGAGGAGGCAGACAGCCACATGGTGGGGAGCAATGGGGTGCTTCAGAGAATGACCAAAGCCCAACATGTTAGGGAAGGCATCCTTGGGAAGAGATTAAAGAGAGGGAAATGGAAAGCTGCTCTTCACTGAGTAATTCAGAGAAACAGGCTGACTTCCAACCAGCATGGCTGAGCACTTCTAAGAGACTGTGCAGGAGTAGAAATCCTGGAAGAAAAAGTATATTATCTTATTAAATGGCTACTTATTCTACCTGTATCTTTTGCAAGTTTTAAGATGAGTCTACCTTCCTAGAGGTAGTTCCTTGGCCTGGTGATTGATGCCTACCAGGAGTGTTATATCTCCACACAAGCCAAGGACTCCATTCTCCTGACCAGAAGCTTTCTGTTAGTGTGTCTTCGCCGTTCTTGTAGCATTCAATAACTTCCTCACCACACTGTCCAGTGTTTACCTGAGAGCCTGGCCACATTGGCCAGCATTGACCCCTCCGCTCTCTGCTTCTGTGGGCTCATTTCCCTTCCATTGACAGACAGAAGTGAGGTCCTTTAGTGGTTATCCTTCGTGCTTGGCTTGTTCCACAAACCACATCTCTTCCAATTGCATCTTGTTGGGTCTTGACCAGGTGTTCCTGCTCCTAATGTGAATGCTGTGCCCGTCATAGGTGTTCTTCTCCCCAGAAACATTGAGCTGATGAACTCCTTGTATACAAATCTGAAAAACTAGACCTGCATCACCAAAGCTAGAGGGGAGGTGGGCTTGTGTGTGTGTGTGTGTGTGTGTGTGTGTGTGTGTGTGTGTGTGTGTGTGTATTTTATTTGTTTGAGGCAGGATTTCCGGTAGCTCAGGCTGGCTTTGAACTTCTGATCCTTCTGCTTCCGCCTCTTGAGTACTGGGATTTCAAGCAAGCAACACCATAGCAGGTTTATGCAGTGCTGAGGGTAGAACCTAGGCCTTGAGGCATGCATGGCAAGCACTCTACCAACTGGGCTACCCTCCCTGTTCTACTCTGTGCATTTGATTGAACCCTTTTTTCCCCTTTTCTCTAAAAAAATTGTATGTTGAACTTTATTATATATATGAAAAAAAAAACCCGAGATTAATCAGACACAAAGTTAAATAGCCACTCAGAATGGAATTGGATTTTAACCTTTGACTAGTTTATTTTGTTTTTCTGAGGCAAAGTCTCACTGTGTGGTTCTGACTGGCCTGAAGTTCCCTGTGTAGACCAGGCTGGCCTTTAATTCACAGAAATCTGCCTACCTCTGCCTCCCTAGTGTTGGGATTAAAGATGACACAGGCGCCCCCAGCATCTTTAACTTTGAGGTAAGGTCTCATAGCCAATGCAGGCTTCAAGTACCTATGTAGTAGCTAAGGATGGCCTGGCATTTCTTTCCTGTCGCCACCTCCAGCATACTGGGGTTAAGAGTCTCAGGTCAACTTCAAGCCCCCTTTTGGGGGCTGCCTGCTTGGCCCCCACTGACAACACACCTCAGCTTAGAGCAGAAATTGTCCCCTTTTGTTAAAAGCGGAGGTGGCTTTGCAAGACTACCAGTTCTACAGGCTTTCTTTTCTTTTCTTTCTTTCTTTTTTTTTTCCTTTGCGTTATAGCGTTTCAAGTCTAACTCAGCCTTTGTTCCTGAATGAGCACCCGAGAGGAGAAAAGTTACCATCTGCCCTTAATGTGTGTGACAAATTACTTAATGAACATTTAACCAAGATTTGAAAGCCACCAGCTTTATCTCTCTCTTCTTTTCTCCTGTGGACCCACTGGCATTCGGGTAGCTCCGCCTCCCTCTACCTCGTGCTAGCCCTCCCTTGCTTCTCTATTCAAGTGAGGGCCGCCTTTGATCCTCCTCCTTTCAGCTTCCTTTTCTCCAATTTCATACTTCTTTCCAGTAATTTTTGGCCTCAGTGCAGTTTAGATGCTGGAGGCCAGCATGATTAAACAAATGCCCAGAGTTTGTGTTGCCCCATGATTTTCTGGAATGTTCCTTCCACGAACACTGATTTCTGTATAACTTGCTAGACACCTTGATTTCTCCCCTCCCCTCCACCATGATGTGATGTTTTTCTAACAAAAATAAAAGAGACTCAAACTCTAGTCCAAGTTTGTTTTTAGAACAACTGTGTGTGCCTTCTCTTGCAGTAAGAAAGGAATGTTTTACAAGAGCCAGCTAAGGGCTTACCGCTTTACATCTGTTCTCATCTAATGGGAGTTTAGAGTTTTCTCTACATGCATAGTCTCCAACCTCAAAGTAGAGCTAAAAGCGTTCCAGTGAACTGAGTAGTGAGTCAGGTCTGGCATGCAGAACTATTTAGATACACCATGCAGCAGGGCAAGGGGAGAGCGAGTGATACAAAGGGACCAGTGTCCCCTAGCGGGGCAGATACACAGCCCTCTCCAAGCCAACCAGTCTGTCAACCTATTCCTTTTCTGCATTGTCAGAAGTGAGTTGCTGTGTCCAGCCATGGTCTAGGAGAGCGCATGTCACAGAGAAGTGGGTGCTGGAGTGTGTGTGTGGGTGGGGGGGGGTTATCTTGCAACTTGCCCGCCACTCTATGGGTTGTGTTGAGTGTGTTTTGGTTGTCCCTGTTAACGTGCTACTGTGGCAGGGGCACTCACAGGCTCCGACACAGAGCTCCTTGTCTGAAGCCATGGCTCTTGTTGCCTGTGGTTCCGTCTTGCCTTCCTCTGCTGCTGATCATGTCCTTCCTGTCTTCTGCTCCTGCCACTTCCTGGAACGCCAGAGGTGTCCTATGTACCCGGTTCCTTTCCTGTGTATGTTTACACATTCTGCTTTGTGGTGGGAGATGAGATTTAGTTCTTTAATAAGAAACATAATGAAGAAGATGGAAGAATGGGGATGTCATGTGTCCCAAAGTCCATATATCACATTGCTCTAGCAGACAGGTTAACAGAAGGCCTCTTTTCTCTCTCTAAAGAAACTCATGTTGCTGACATCGGATAGGATTTTCAAAAATTGGCCAGAAGCTTAACATCTTCTAGTAAAAGTAGGTAAACCTGGCCAATCACTCCTAAGCCTGTGAGGAATACCCCTCTACTTCCTGAGGTGTTCTCCCTCTCTGGGATCAGGTATTGCTCCTCTGGGCCACTGCACTCTTTAACAAAGGATGAAATAAAGAAGAACATCTTTTTTGTCTTTACTTTCTTTTTTCAGAAAAGATACAGTAATTTTGAATATTATAGTTTTTTTTCTTTCATTAGCTACACCTACCTGTTACATTGCCTAATAAAATATCCTATTTAGTCATCTCGGAATCATCTAGAAATAGCAATTTCTGCCCAGAAGAGGCTTTCTGATTCTCTGTGCATCTCCTGGAGGATTAATACCACTATCAACATTTGCTAATTGAGTTTCCTATGATGGGTTTCTTTAATCATTTACATTTTGAGAAAAAAATGAGAGAGAGAGAGAAAGTAAAATATTCTTTAAGAAGTCCAAGTAATCCTGGAGAATATATGGTGTTTGTTCAGCTGGGGAATCTTATTTATTTGAAGAACAGAGAGAAACCTCTTCTGAGTGATCAGAAAAGGAGAAGAATAAACAGTGTCCAAGTAACCTGAGCCACAAAGTTCCTTGTTTCAGAGAAAAGTTATAAAAAGTATATTTGCTAGATCCAAAAAAAATACCGTACATCAACTGCTGAGGCCGGCATGATGTTTTCTTAGTATTCTCATTCTTTAAAGGAAAAAAAAGGCCATAAAATCTGGGAACTCAAAAATTTTGGGGTATTTTAATATTCTTAGGCAGGTGAACACAGAGAGTCTGTTTTTTCCTCTTCTGAGTTTGGCATTGTTTCCTGGCTTCCATGTGGGCCGTGTGTCATTGATCCCTCGGTTGAGTCTCTGCAGCATAAAAGACTGACCTAATGAAATTAGCATGGTTGACATCTCAACCATGGGTGAAATCTCAACCTTAGCCCAAGCAGATTTCCAAAAGGAAGGGTTTGAGAAGATGTTCAGAAGAAAGTAACTACCACATCCTTCGGGGGGATCTAGTTCTTCAGCATACATGAGGGAGAGCAACAGTTTCTTCCATTCTGCCCTTCTGATCCAAGCCTTAGGAAGAAGCTGGCCAGTTGCTGCTGCCTGAAAAGGATATGCCCTTCATCCTGGGCACCCTGATTCTGCAGCATTCGTGCATTTTGCCTGGGTGTGTCTCATCTTTCCTTCCATTGCCAGGGCAGGATGAGGTTCCCTTGCGTTCATCTTTGGCCTCAGGGTGATGGGAGACCTTTTAGATCTGAAGCCAAAACAAAACCTTATAAGCTGAACTCACCTCGTCCAAGTCCACTTGGCCACTGTTGTTTTCCCATGTGTAATTTCATTGGTTATACAGTTGGTATTAGACTGTAGAGGTTCCTCCCTCAGAATTCTGGCTGGTAAGTAGTTCTGAAAGACAATACAACACCTTACATTTACTAGGACTGGCTTTGTAAGCAGTACCTTCTGTGAATCAGCCTATTTGCTTCCCAAGATTCCAAGGCAGGTGGAGTGGGTGGAGTGTGCTTACCTCAGTTTGGTTGAAGTTGGAAGACAGTGTGATAGAGCAGAAAGGCTATGCATGGACCTTGAACCTGTAGCAGGATCCCGGGTCTGAATGAACCCCAGCAGTCCCTTCCCAGGAGGTCTCCTCTGTGCTGTAAAACAGAGAGGACAGTCCAGCATCTGGAAGTTGTTAGAGGTAAAGGCAAAGTTCAAACCTGTGGCACCTGGTGCAACTTGGGAATTATTCATTTGCTTCAGATCTTGCCAGCCACTGTGGCCTTTCCTGATTGTCAAGGTCACAGAAAACAGCTCTTGCTGTTTATCTTGTTTATCTATTGCACGAGAGAGTGGAAGCTCTGCAGGTGCCAAGCACCCTTTGGTCTCTAATTGCAAGGAAACTCTAGGAGGAACGGCCTCAAACCTTCCATTTGATAATGAAGTTTTAACAGGATGTGCTTTAGAAGCTCTTGTCCCTCTGCCCATTTGCAAGCCAGTTTTTAGAGTATTAACTTTGTGTTTTTAAGGCTTCTCACATCTTACCTGCCCTGCTTTCTGTTCGATTTTTTTCAGTTGCTTTAGATCCCTTTTGGAAGGAGGTCCAGTTTAAATTACTAAAGTGACTTAGGTTGAAGTATAGGCATACCTCCTAGAATCAATCAATCAATCAATCAATCAGTTACTTTATCTCTTTTTCTCTCAATAGATAGATATAGATGTGATATAGATTCTATACATATAATTATATATAGTTATATTGAACCTATATATAATATATAAATAATTATATGTATACACACACATATATACATATATATATGTATATATAAAATCTGATGTTTTTGAGACATGGTCTTTCTATTGTATAGCTCTGGTTCTCCTGGAACTTGCTATATAAACCAGGATGGCCTTAAACTAACAGAAATGCGCCTGCCTCTGACTCCTGAGTGCTAGGGTCAAAAGTGTGAGCCATCACACCTGGCCTAGAATCTCATAGACCAAAAGTCGCTTTATCCTGTTGTGTTCTCATTGACACTTGTCTGTATTAGCCTCACTCAGCAAAAGAGATTATATGATACAGAGTATGCTGGTAAAACTAGACTCTAAGAAAACCATTTCTGTCTTGAGAATGTTAGAACACTTTTTAAAAGTGTGTTTTATTGATGACTCACAAGACAGTATCTGATTGATGTTTGTTAATTGCTTGAGACAGGGTCCCAATGAAGCCTGGGATGGCCTTCCTATCTAGCCCAAGCTGGCCTCAACCAGCAGCTGATTGCTTTTCTTTTGTGTGTGTCTGCACATATGTGTAGGTACAAGTATGTACATGTGAAGGCCAGAGGCCATCCTTGAAGGTTAATTTTAGAAATGCTGCCAACCTTTGAGACAAGGTTTGTCATTGGCCTGGAGCTAACCTATTGGTCAGCTAGTCCCAGCGATTCTCCTATCTCCACATCCTCAGCCCTGGGATGACAAGCAGGTACCATCATGCCAAGCTTTCTACGTGGGAGTTTTCACACTTACAGTGCAAATGGTTTCACCAACCAACTGAATCATCCTTCCCACTCCTTAGCAAGTATGCCATGCCCTTCTAGCCAGAGTTTTTGTCAATTATCTCATATATATATATATATACATAAAACATATATGTGTATATATATATATATATATATATATATATATATATATATATATATATATATTTTTTTTTTTTTTTTCGAGACAGGGTTTCTCTGTGTAGCTTTGCGTTTTTCCTGGAACTCGCTTTGGAGACCAGGCTGGCCTCAAACTCAAAGAGATCCGCCTGCCTCTGCCTCCCGAGTGCTGGGATTAAAGGCGTGAGCCACCACCACCCGGCTCTCATATTATATTTTAATACATGTTATCATCTAACAGATCAACACATAGTTCTTTGTTTCATTCTTTGTTTTTTGTTTGTTTGTTTTTTGCTTCCTGCTTTTCTATCATTCCCTTTCCTTTATGTTCACTAAGGTCTTTCCCAGCCAGCTGTTTTCTGCCTTAAACATATCTTGGGGAGAATTTGATTTCTTATTTAGTTCATTTATTAAGATGGTTTGTGACAACAAACACTGACAATAGTCATGCCATGGTTGCTTATAGACAGGAAGTACTAGATGAATATATTGGTTTATTTAACTTATACTCCACTGCTTAGCATGTGGGCTCACCATCTGTTTTGGGTAAAGAAGCCAAAGCTAGCCAATTCAGTACTGCCAGTAAAAAAAAATCTTGTGTGTGTGCACGTGGGACTCCGGTGTGGGGGTGCATGTGTCTCAGCAGGTGTGTGGAGGTCAGACAACAGTCCCCCCTTCCACCTGGACTCTTGTTTACTGCTGCGTATGTCAGACTGGCTGGACCACCAGCTTGCAAGGATTCTCCTCTTCTGCCTCCCACTTGCTGCAGGAGCACTGAGGTTACAGGCATTCGTTACCATGTCCCGCCTCCTGTGGGATCCACGCTTGGGCCCTCGTGTTTGCAGGTCAAGCCCTTGAACCCACTGAGCCATCTCCCTAGCCCAGCACTGCCACTTGGATCCTGCAGAACTGTGGGGTTTTTAACTGCATATTTATGAATGAAACCCCTTGAACAGCATTGGATCAGCACTGGTCAACTTTTTGGTCTTTCTTGACCCAGGTTAGGTGTCGTTGGATTAATTAAATACTTTAATCTGGTTTTTGAACCACACACATATAGTTAAGCTCTTTTTAATTCAAACCCTCTTCATCCAAACTGACTTTTCATAGCTTTTTCCACTGAGAGTTCTTCTTCATGTACAAATAGTTTTCGGGAGTACCCATCTGCATTTCCCCACGTGAATTTGCTACCAGCACATTTTTATCATGGATATTTTAACTAGGAACCTATATTGCAAATGTGACAAAAAGACCTCTGCTGGCTTCTTAGCTGATGCACAAGCAATGGCCAACGAGTCCATTGATCTCAGTGTCTCACTTATCCAGGCTTGGTCTCTGAGTGTGTTGCTGAAGGAACTCTTCCTGTGCTTCCAACACTTTGGGTGTCACTCTTTAGCAATTGCTGATCAGGTGCCTTCTGTTGCTCAGAAAAGGGTATTTTTAAACTTTTTTGAATGCTACTAATTTTTTTCTTTGTTAGAACCAGTAAATGTGAAGTATTCAGATTTGTCTGTTTCTGAAGCAAATATTTAATGAAACAATACACTTACACTTACTGGCCTATGTTTGTCTGGTGTTGTGTGTTTTTTAGATTTTTGTTTTGGTATTTGGAGACAGGTTCTTACTAGGCAGCCCTGGCTGGCTTTGAATTGTAGTGAGCTTTCTGGTTCAGACTATATCATATAATAATCTGAATTACTAGGATTATATCATAATACCACAACTGGTTTTTGTTGTTGTTTGTTGTTATTGTTATTCGTCTTCTTGATTGTATTTTATTTTATTTTTTAATGCTGATTTTTACACAAGCTTCAAGACAAACTTTATTTCAGGGCTTACTATGTCTCCTTGGGTCCTTTGTCTCACACTATTTCATCTGCTATTGTCTGATGAACCTTTACCAAGTGCCTCTCCTGTGTGATATGCTATAAAGATTAGCAAGAACTAGAATGAGCCAGGTGTTATACGTGCCCTGTGTACTTACCTTTGAAGGGACAGAGTGATGAGAATGGTGAAGTAAGGTGACATGAGTACTAACTGGGACATGGAGCTTCCCCCCTTGGGTGTAGAGTCGGATGGAGTTGCAGAATAGAGATAGCATCTTGATTGATACTTGTAGGTTATGTGGGAGGTAAACATGAGTACACAAAAGGAACATATGGGCCTAAGTGTGCACCAGAGGATGGTGGAGCCCTGGGTTCAGGACTAGGTTAAGGGGGATGAAAACTTGGTCATGACAGTCTGCAAAACCTTATCACATCACAATGTAAAAATTATGATTAGCAAGACTTCAAACTTTATCTCATGACAGAGTTGATGTTTATAATGAAGACTCAAGTGATGAATGTGGGTTTGTAGGGATTTCCACCTCAAGGAAACTGTATTAGTTACTTTTCTTGATGCTGTGACAGAATCCTTGGTGTAGCAACTTAAGAGTTTATCTTTCTTGGCTTGTAGTTTGAGGAGACAGTATATTGTGACGGGGAAGGCATGGCGGCAGGAGCATGAGGCAGCTGGTCACATGGCATCTTCAGTCAAGAAGCAGAGAGAAAGGAATGCTCCTTCTCACCTCGCTGTCTTTTTATGAAACACCAGACCCTAGCCCATGGAATAGTGCCACCCACATTTCAGGGTGGGTCTTCCCAAAGTAGTTAACCCCAACGTAAAAAAAAAAAATTCCCTCACAGGTGTGCCTAGAGATTGGTCTCCTGGTGATTCTAAATTGAGAGCGCCAACTATCACAGAAATGTAGGTAACCGATACCATCAAGGACTTGGTCAAGTTTTATGGATCTTAGTGTTGCTAGAGTTTTCCTGGTTCTGCCTGGCCCACAGTCAGGACAAATCTCCCTCACCCTCCATTCCTGCAGCCGCTCAGACCCAACCAAGTAAACACAGAGACTTATATTTCTTACAAACTGTATGGACATGGCAGGCTTCTTGCTAACTGTTCTTATATCTTAAATCAACCCATTTCTATTAATCTATAGGTTGCCACGTGGCTCGTGGCTTACCAGTATCTTAACATCTGCTTCTCATCGTGGAGGAAGCTGGCAGTGTCTCCTTGCCTCAGCCTTCCACTTCCCAGAATTCTCTTTTCTCCTTGTCCCACTTATACTTCCTGCCTGGCTACTGGCCAATCAGTGTTTTATTTATTAACCAATCAGAGCAACACATTTAACATACAGAACATCGCACAGCATCTTAGGATGTTTTGTTGGTGATAATGACAGTGGCAATGATAACAGTGAGGACAGTGGTGATGATGGCAGTGAGGACAGTGGTGATGAGGACAGTGAGGACAGTGGTAATGATGACAGTGAGGGCAGTGGTAATGATGACAGTGAGGACAGTGGTGATGATGACAGTGAGGACAGTGGCGATGACAGTGAGGGCAGTGGTGATGATACAGTGAGGACAGTGATGATGATGGCAGTGAGGACAGTGGTGATGATGACAGTGAGGACAGTGGTAATGATGACAGTGAGGACAGTGATGATGATGACAGTGAGGACAGTGGTGATGATGACAGTGAGGACAGTGATGATGATGGCAGTGAGGACAGTGGTGATGATG